TTCTGAGGGCGGGGCTTCATAAAAGCAGGACATGATCAGCGCGTTCAGAGGAGAAGGGACAGCGCGGTGTGGAATAAAGGTCAATTATGTGAAAAATAATGCGTTTTTTAACAAACGAAGCATTAACACATGTTAGACTGCACCCCATAAACACAATCAAGCCTAGAAAAAAAAACAGTCAACCACCCCTTTAAAGCATAAGTTTTATAAAACGATGCATTTATTGACGTTCTGGTAGTAATTCCCCTTTTTTTTTTAGAGTGCAAGAGAGCCTTCAGAATCTCTCAGAAATATAAACTCTTAAAAATAAAGCTTGTTTATTGGCATTGATGGTTCCATTCTTTCCTCTGCACTTTATAGTAGAAAAAAGCTCTTTAGATTATTAAAATGTTCTTCACATTAAGAAATAATGGTTCTTTTTTGGAACTGTTCACTGGAAGGTTCTTTGGGGAACCAAAAACTGTATTTTTAAGAGTGTTTGTGATCGTGAAACTCTTCTTGAGTTTGTACAGTAGATCGTACACGAAATAGGGAAAAGACTTGTTCCTGCTGCCATCGCCGGTGATGTTGGATCCAGTCTGTTTCCCGTCAGAAGATATTCATTTAAATTTTTTACTTAACATTTAACATTACTGAACTTTTATTTTTGTTATTTTAAAAACGTTAAAATGTTAACTTTTTTGTTATGATTATAACATTATTTAAAGGTTACAAAAATGCTCTAACTTTAATTTCACAAAAATTATTTGAACGTGTTATTTTTAAAATTCTAAAAACGATTAAACATCGCATTCATTTTAATTTTATTTTTTACTTAACATTTAATGTCCAGTTTTTTGTTGTGACTCTAATGTTATTTAAAGGTTACAAAAAACGTTGAACTAATTTTATTTTCAAAAGTATAACGTCATTAGAATATTCTAAGAATGTTAAAATCTCCAGTTTTCTTGTCGAGATTGCAACGCTATTTAAAGGTTGCAAAAACATTTCCTAGATGTTCACCAAGTACAAATAACACCATAAGGACGTTTTGAGAATTTCTCGACGTTATCAAATAATCGTAAAGTTCCATAAACATTACGTTGAGAACGTTTTGTCCTAACATTGATATAACGTTTAAAAAACGTTTCCTTTTAGCTGCGATGCCATCTGAGATCGCATGATGGGAAACAAACCTGCATTTGTGATTTGAGAGGAAGATTATCAGTGAATAAAGGCTTAAATTTCGTCTTGACTTCTTGTATGTATTGTCATGTAAAGGCAGTGCCATTCAATCCAGCTCTTGTAAAGCCGATATGAGGGTCTGGAACAGGTCTGTGCTTGATAAACTCCCTCACTGGATGTTTGATGTTACGGTAGAAATGCAGAACTGTCGCGACACGTAACATATAGATCTTATATATGCTGAAAACACCGCCGCGGGAGATTTACTGCCGGATTCCAGCGAGGCGATGGAGACGGTGAGTGTGATTTATGGTCACCTGTGCGCTTGAGGAGAGCTCGAGTTACGCTTCAGGCACAAACGAGAGTCAGGATCTGACAGCCGCTGATGCTCCTGACGCTGACAGGAACAGATCTGTGGGATGGTGTCTGATTGTGAGATCTCTGTTGCAGCTGCAGACGCCGAAGAACCTGCACCTGAAGAAACAGCACCTGAAGAACCTGCACCTGAAGAAACAGCACCTGAAGAACCTGCACCTGAAGAAGCATCACCTGAAGAGCCAGCGGAGGAGGCAGAAGCTCCTGCAGGTTAAACAAACACAGACATTAACATTAAAGCACTTTACAGTGATTTTACAGTGTTTTTCCCATGAGCGAGAGACGTTCTTAGCAGCACTGTAAAAAATTACCGTGAATTTAACGGTAAAAGACTGTAAAAACCTTGTACTTCAATAGGTTGGCATATTGACATTATATCAGTTAATGAAATTACGGTATTTAACTAAATTTAAGTTAAAACCGTAAAACCTAAAACGTTGCTACCGTATTTTTTTTACAGTAAAATTCCGGCATCCACAGCTGCCGTTTTTTTTACTGTAAATTTTACAGGATATTTTTTACAGTGAGGGTTTACTAAATTAAAGCTATTACAAATCTAAATAAGAAATAAATCAAATATAAGTATTAATAAAGAAGTAATTAAATAAAAATACAATTTAAATATCGAATGAAAAACTTAACATTGCCTTGGCAACTAAATTAAATACGTTGACGCACTAAAGTTACTGACTATAAATAAATAAAACTAAAACAAAAAGCCAGGGTTATTATAGTTAACTAAATCTACAATTAAAAGCATAAAAATAAAAGTTAATTGACATAAGATCCTATATTAAAAAAACATTTTATTTCAGATAATTGCCAAGGCAACATCATTTTCATTTAAGTTGGTGTACTAAAATAACTCAAACTGAAACTGAAAAATTTAAATAAAAATCAGAAATATAGAAATATAATAAAAATGACAAAACACAGAATTACTAAAACAGTAACTAAAATTAAAACGGAAAAACGATTTCAAACTGTTAATAAAAAAATATAACACTTAAATAACAATCCAGTAATTGAAATTAAGCTGAAATAAAATAAAATCTAAATATTAGATGAAAAGCGTCTATAATACTGATTCTTAGGCACAATGCAAACAGCCAACGTCAATGTTCAATATACATTTGACATATATTTACGTTTAATAATAACAATCAGAATAAACTGTTCTGTTATTCAGTGCATTAATATAGACTGTGCATCGTATAGATGTGTAATCATCAGCATTTTATACCAGCTTTTATAACATTTTATAATCGTGTGTTGTTTTTTTGTGTGTTTACAGAGTCTGAAGACACAAACCCTGAGACAGGTACGCCTCGTTTACTTCAGGTGTTCAGTTCTGGTCAGACACAAGACACAAGTGCAAAACCAAGGCACATATACATATACATATACATATACATATACATATACATATACATATACATATACATATACATATGGATATAAAAATACATATACATATACATATACATATACATATACATATACATATACATATACATATACATATACATATACATATACATATACATATACATATACATATACATATACATATACATATACATATACATAT